AACTCCATTTCGAATTGATTTTAAGAAATGTTTCAGGACAGTTCTGTTTGATAGTGCCCATGTTACTGCTGCTACTGCCATGGTGGACCAAGATGCGTGTATCAGACGGTATGGCAAAAGATGTTATGCAGAGAAACTGTTCGAAACATCTGCTTCCAGGCACATCTATTTTCATCCCTGCTTGACGGGTCCTCACGGCGAAACCGCCATGTTGTCGATAGTGTATTATCATAGATGCTAACTTTTATGAATCGCCTAAGCTAGAATTTGGAGAGAAGACATTTGGAGCTGAAGAACTCTAGGTGAATAATGGGAGAGGTCAGTTTAGTCAGTGTTAGATTAACGATAAGTTATGATTTCAAGAAGACTGCTTTGTGGCTTGCTGTGTATTGACTTTGAATAGATGCTTATATGATATGAATTTAGTAAGCAAAATAATTCAAGATAACAAGTTACTTAGATCTCTTTGAAAGGTATTTTTGGACATGCACGATCATGGATAATTGATTATATATATTCTCAATAATAGTTGACATGGTTTAAAAAATGATGTTTTCTTGACTGAAGAAGGGAGCACTTCCTTCTTTGTAGGGTAGCTTATTGGAGACTTGAAAGGACAGGACCTTGACTATTAAAAGAAGAAACCAACTGTGGAGCAAATTGATAGCTTTGTGATTGATCACATATCACAGTCTGCTGCTAGAGAAGCTAGTTTGACTCCTTTTCAAAGAGCCTTTGTCTACACTCTGCTCTTTCAGTGTACGCTATCTCTCCACGATAATCTAACTCTCCCATCCTCAAACACTCCCCAAATCAAGAAACAGTTGCCATGGGGTCTCTGACAACTCATGGTTACCCTGTGCATTCAGGTTTTTTAATTGTTGATCTTTTTAAAATAGATCCTCACCAGGATCTTCTTCTAAGGTGCCTCTGGGTAGATTTGAACATCCAGTCTTTCAGTTAGTAGTATAAACTTTCATTGTTTGTGCCACTCAGGGACTTGTTCCTCAGAGATAAAGAAACATATATAGGAAGGAGCTTCAAAAGTTTGTGGAAAAATTAATATTTTTTAATTGCACTTTTCACAAACCCTTTCAAGCACCTTTTAATAATTTATATTTTTAAAAGGAAAGAAATGATTTAAAAAATCTAAAATTTCAAAACAATACTTTAAAAGATGTTTTAATAATATTATAAAGACCTTAAAAAATACACTGCAATCAAATACAGTTATGGCCAAAGGAATAAATGTATGCTGTGCTTTGGTTACTAGAGAATACTCTGGTTTTATGACCTTTTTTCATTTCAGATTTATTGTATAATGAATGATGTATACCACTTAAAGTAAGGAGTCCTTTGCCATTCAGTCTGTTTCAATTTTAGAATTTATTAATAGAATTATGTTTCAATGAGCTCTGGAAGAAGTACAACAATTTTGATGATGCATTTGTAATCTCTTTTAGAAGTAATTATTTCTGCTTGGGACCATATTTATGAGTGTTTTGTCTTTTAAGACTTTAATAGCTTAAGCAGAGGCTGTGATCATCTTAAGAGGAGCAGACCCAAGAATGAAACCAATTCCAATTCAGAAATGGAGCCCACTCTGAGTTCCAGGAAGACAAGGAAAAGGCTGAGAAGTAATTCATCTGATTCTCATAATTTGGCTTGTTCTCTGGATGAGACAACAGACCAGACAGTGAGTAGTGATATATAAATGCAATAGGAAGTAATTGTTATGGTAAGAATAAGCTGACTGTGACCAAATAGCCTTTGCTTTGATTGCCATAGGGCTTTAGTTATTTACTTGCCAATCTTTTCAAGTTTCTGTTTATTTAGTAGTTAGGGTATTAAAAAAATACAGATCATATCTTTTACCTGTTTTCAGAAATTTGTTACATAATTAACAAGAGAACTAGTAAGAAGTTAGTCTTAATCCTTTCATATTTCAGGACCTTGCAGTGCCTTTAGGTGATCAGTAATACACAGCAATAAAGACCGTGAAGAACATGGTTGATTTTCACATGGTTATTTTCCTTAGTTTTAAGTTTTTGCTTTTCTCACCAAGGTAGGTGTCCACATGCCTTGTTACTTTACATAAATGAAGACGTAAAAAAATTCTTTAAAGTTAGATTTTGACTCCAGTATTGACTTTTTTCTCTGAACTATTTTTTAAAATTGGCGATTCCTGTGGCCCCCCCACCCACCCTTTTAAAAATAGTTTAGGCAGACCAATTGGTTCATCAGATCAAACCCTATGTTTTTATATTTAGGAAACATTGTTAAGTATAATGTAGTCTAATTTTATGTTTATGTTGTTATAAAAGTGATGTAATATTTTGCATTGTTTTTTATTTCAAACTTAAAAAAATTATTTTAATAAAGCTGCATTAGGGAAATGCTTTTTTCTTTCTTTCTATGTACTTAGGTTCAGCAAGAACAAGAAAACGACTTGATAGTGTCCATTGAGTTTGAAGAGTCCAGTGACAGCGGTCACCAGAATCCAAATCTACTTGAAGTTATACCTGAATCTTCAGAAAGTGGTACCACCCAACCATCCTCACTCAGCAGCGAGGAGTGGACTTTGCGTGCTGCCCCCCAAGGCACCTCTGACTGCTCAGCGGCTGCAGCGGCTGAGAACTCCGTTCCCAGTGATGCTGTGGGGTGCCCCTCCCTGGTTCAAAAGCGTGGGGATGAGTCGGATGCACTGGAAAAGCCTCTTCC